GTTTTGGAAACAAAGCTATAAATACGAAAGTGTATATCGTAAAACTGTGAAAAATCTTTTTAAAGGAAATATACAAAAGGCATTTAAATACTAATAATTAGTCTTGGTCCTGAAAATAACAATAGAAGATGAAAAAATTAGTAACTAGACTTGTTCATCTGGTGATTCATTTATCTGCACACTTCCAGTAAGCCAGTGGGTTCCAAATTGGCTCTTCCTCACACGCAAGAGTCTGTTCTTGCACACACAGGTCGTAGTTTTAAAATCAGTTGTTACTGGAAAGGAAGTCTGAAGTTCAGACAATGGTGGCAGAAAATCCAGACTAAGGCAGTTCTTCCAAGGTGAACTGCAGAATATTTTTTTTAAGTCCCTTAGTAATCACAAAGGCAAAAGAAAATATTTTATTCCCTTTCATAGTGGTTATGAAGAAATTAGCAAAGAGTGATGGTCTGCCTTTTGACAGTTGTCCGGCATAACTCTTTACTACCATAGGCATCATTAATACCTTTCGAATATCTAAAACTGGACATGGCTACAGTATGGATATTTGCTAATGTTCCCCTTAAGAATTAGAAATGCCACATATAAGTCAGAAATATTTGATTCCTGTGACATAATTTGTGTTCTTTCCAGAGTTTCCCCTTTCCAATGCATTACCAGTCTTGGTAGTCAGAAGAACCAAAGTTTTAGCTTAGTTGGTGTCTTATTAGACCTGCTTTAGCTAGGTCAGTCCTGGCTCTGGTAGCACAAAGCCACAAGTGTTGGCTTAACATTATCATCTTCATAAAGCACAAGGAAGTAGTAAAAAGCAATTCAGTGATTCCGGTGCCCTTCACAACTACATTCAGAAAGGTGTCACCTTTGGTACAGAGCCAGGCACAGTGAAGAGCAAGGTTTGAAGTCCATGGACAACTTTACTTACTATATAATTAATGTAAGCCCATTTCTCAGAAATTGCTTAAGAATGGCTCTGAGTAATGTATTAACCATTTTCCAACTGTTATTTACAGAAATAGTCTTCTGTCTTCATGTTTCTTTAAAAAAAAAAAAAAGGAAAAATTTAGTTCTGCTTTCTGCCTGGCTGCTTAAAGCTTTGCCCATTTTTCATTACTCCCTTTATTGTAGTCTTTTTAGATGTGTTCATCTTTACAGTCCTTTGTCAGCTTTATAAGAATATTTTATTCCTGAGATGCTTTTCATCTTCTCTGCTCTGTGATGAGTAAAGCAAATAAAGTAAGAACAAAGCAAATAAAGTAAGAACTAACCTGCTTTTCCTTACTCCCGCTTTCCAGTTCCACAGGTTCATTTTTGATTTCACAGTTTTCTCCAGCATCTTTTTGTGTCAATTATGCATGCAGTGAGAAACCTTCTGGTAGCTGTAATATTCCCCAAGAGTCAGCATTCACCATTCCTTTTCCTTGTCTCTTTAGCATACATACAGCTAATTTCTCATTACTTTTTTAGGTCTAATAAATATTAACCTTCTCAACTGCTGTGTTTTAAAGCTTTTAGTTAACAGTATTGCCTGTAATATTATTTGTGGAAGTCTCTTATGCTTTTCTTTGCCAGTCTTGGTCTTCTCAGTGAGTACTCCTTAGGTTTTCTGATTTTGCTAAGGTCATTTCTGATGCAGTATTGGTAAGACTCAAAATAATACAAAAGACCTAAACTGGACGTTCCGTAGTTCTTTTACAGTGAGCTTCTCTGGACTCAGAATGGTATCATAGCTGGCTGCGGGGTCTTTTGTTGAGTTTTTCAGAACCAGTACTTGTCTTGCTTTCCTGTGACAACTACTTTCAGCCTTAGCTGGCTCAGCTTCTGAATTTAGACAAGAAGTCACTGCCAAAAGTGTGAACTTTTCAAGAACATAGTGATAAGAGAGGCCCTATACTGAGAGCACCTCAGTAAACCCTGTTCCCCATGCTGCTAATCACAGTTGTGATAGGAATTATGATCAAAGCTTGCATTAGGAATATCATTTAATGAGAGATCAGCATGGAGCATTTGTGATTTTTGCCAAGTCCGTTTGATTGGTTGGTTGGTTGATTCAGTGACTGATTTTTGCTAAGTGGCTCAAAACTGAGGTCCGTGGACCTTGCTGAGACCATTACCATACGCAGAACTGAAGGCAGAAGCTGTGGGAGTTGAGGTGTCATGTAGTAACTGAGCCGACCACCCAACTACTGGCACCTTCTGTGAACCTGCTATATTAAGTCCAATGATGGAGAGTGAAGCATGATTTAATGAGTAGAGCTACGTTATAAGATAGAGGACCCAAAAAAATCCCCAACCTACAAAAAACAGAACAGAAATCTGGAAAAAAAGGGCGAGTAATAGTAATCCAATCTGCTCGGGTAGGATTTGTCTCATCTGACCCCTGACTTAAGAAGGGCTGAAGTTTAGTCGATCTAGTTAATGCAGAATGGGAGTCCTAAGAACGTATCATAAAAGAAGAAAAGTAAATATATTTCTCCAGTGACTCAGACGTAGTAATTGCTGTCCTGAGGGTAATTTCCATGCTGACAGCCATGTAGGATGGCATCTTCAGCTGTACATGGCCCACGTCTAGACAGGAGCCCAGTGGCCTCCTTCCACAAAGGGAGCAAAAGGTCTATATGTGGCCTCATTAAACATTTCCCCGATCCTTACGTGTGACCTCTGTCTCCAGGTGGTATTTAAACTGTTCTTTATTTCCTTATGAGTGTAAGCCATCAAATGCCATGCGTGATAGCTTAATAATAGAGTATGAATGCTATCACCTCTATGTAGTTTTGTTCCTTGTGATTTGGGGACGTGCTGTCGGCTGAAGGGATCGTGAGGATGTTGCGGTACCTTGTAATGGCCAGTGTGGAGCTGGTGACCCGTGGTTTCCCTCCGACTACTCTGCCCTTAAGAATTATTTTATCTATTGGTGAATGGTTCTGTCTACTCTCTCCCAGGTTGACAGATTCATAACTGTGACAAATCTAACGTAATCATCGGGAGTTTTGGCTGATGACTATCTCCTGGATGATTGCTCTCCACCTAGGCTGCAGTGTTTCCACACCATCAGTCTGTCTCAAGCTAGTGGAGCACTTTATGGCCACTTGTAGATCAGCTTTCACTGTTCAATTTACTACACTCCTAATTTGCAAGACTAAAGCAACAGCTGATACTCATTAGTTTTTAATTTTTTCTCCTACTATTATTTCCTTTTTTGAAGTCACAAGTATAGATAATCAGTTGCTTGCATTATCTCAATGTTTCTCCTGTTGGAAAATTACATTAAATGAACAAGCAAATTCAAAAATTCTCTTGCAGTAGTGCAGAAGTATGACAGAGCAATTGAATATACAATATTATGGTATTATGTTAAACTTCATGTGGAGCAACAGATGTATGGGGAAAAAAAAGAGTAATGTATTACTATTATAATGTGAGAGGAGAAAAAATTAGTCAGCTCTTGCATGAATAAACTTTACTGGTCTCACGAATAGCTTCATGTAACTTAATCTTTCTGTATGATGACTTGCAAGCTAATTACTCTTGGATTGCCCCAGAATGATATAACTCATTCTGGGAGCATTTTGAATTTTGCCAAAGTTGTGAAGTGGATACAGTTGAAACTGTAATTGAATGGGTTTCCTGATGAATATATCTGCAAATCGTCACAGGGTGTTATTCCAGGCAGTAACTGTGATCGTTGGTAGATTTATCCCTTTTTTAAAACAATAGAGTTAAAAGTGGCAGATGGTAGTTAATGATTAACATTTCTAGTAAACAAACTTTTGCAGGGATATATTTAAAGTGGTTGTATGTATATAAATAGTCAGGGGCATGAGCTGTGCAACTATAATTGAATTACATTAGCATAACTGAAGTAGAAGTTTAGTAAATACCAAACACCTTAATTAACTTGCACAGTATTAGGAGGTTAATGACATACGTCCCCTCCCCCATAAATGACTCTTCAAAGTGTTTGGCAACGTGGCAATTTAGAGCTGAACTGGTACCTGGTAACCCCACCCTTTGTGGCTGGTGTATGGTAACTTAACTCCTACCACACAAGCTTGGCCTCTGATGGGATTTCTTGAGGTTGAAGCAACAGCCTTTCTTTCAGTGAGCTGGAAACCTCCCCATGAAGTGGGACCATGCAAGTGCCCTCCAGTTGCACCCATCTGCCTCCCAGCACCCACCTGCCTCCCAGCCTGGGGACCCCTTTGCTTGCTGGGCTCTAAACACAGCAGGGCTGGAGTTGGTTAGCTCAGGCTCCACAAACTTACACTATTGAACACAGAAGCTCTGCTCCCTCTGCCAAAAATTTGCCCACCAGCATTGTGTAGTTCTTAAGCAAATAGAAGATAGCAATTATTTTTGTGCCCCTTCAGTCGATAAGGGGAGTAACTGTTTGCTTCTGATTGCAGGTTTTGCAGTCTTTCATTTTTCTAACTTTTTATTATTATTTTTGCTGGTGCAGTTTCTGGAAATATGCCAATTACATCTTCTAGTGGGTTCAAGAAGTGTAATTGAATATTGTTGTAGGAGCTGTCCGATCTGTGTGTTGGAGACCAACGTGAGCTGTGCATCTTCTTAGCTAAGGGGGTTTTTTACTCACTGATGCTTATTCTAAAATCTTAATAGTGGGATTAGAAGCCTGATGGAAAACTAGCAGCGATTTGCAGATTTATCATGCCAAGTAAAGTAAATAAACAATGTAGTTACTAGTCTAGTTAATTATTTTAAGAATACTGGTGAGTCAGGAAACTATATGCAAATTTGTAAGAAATTAACTTGTGTTACGTATGAATAATTTGGGAAAAGCACATTTGATCCACAAGTGGTTGAAATTTATATTCTTCTCTCATATAGGAGACTGTGCTGTAAATAAGCTAGCTTCTCTCATGGGAAAGAAATGTGAATTTTGCTGACAAGCTGAAGTCTTTCAACAGAAAAATGCATGCTGACAGTTTGACCCAGTGGCCAATTGACTGATTACTTTCTCCCTTTTTCCCTTTTTTTAGATGCTGAAGAATACCAGCCTCCAATATGGAAATCATACTGTGAGTATACGAAAACTTTGAATAATCTTAGTGCCTTACCAGTGTGCCACTGTTGGATCTTTTCCCTTTGTTTAGAAAAAAGGCATAAATTTACTACTGGGTGCTTGTAGAAATTACTCTGTGGGGCAGCAGCAAAACCCAAACTTTTCTAGCTCTCCGGAGAGCAAGTGCAGGAGGGTTGTGAGTGCCAGACTCTCTGGGTTGCCTTAACAGTGAGCAAATCCTGGGTTTCGCGGTTTCTCTGCTGAAGAGGGATTCCAGAGGTAGAGGTTAATGCTTCATGTATTTACTAAAGGTCAGGCTTGAGTATACTTGCCTTTTTATATGGGTCACCAAATCACTTCAAGATAATAATATTTTTGATCCTTAGCAATAGAAGTGGATTTCTGAAGCGGTGGTTTAGAAGTTGGAGGCACCATTATCAGTTCTTTGAACCTTCCTGCCTGCTTTTAGAAAAATAATTTACATAGAGTGAAGTGCAGAAATGCATATTTTATGCTCTTTTTGCTGTGTTCCAAATGTATTTTCTAATAAAGTAGCAGAGCTCTAAGACAAAATACAGACTTTTAAAATCCTTATTAAGGATGGCCTTTAAATTTGATCTTTTTATTTAAATCCTTACTGGAACTTTAATAAAACTGTAGCTTTGGGTGTGGAGACTTGGGGATTTTTTTGCCATTTTCAGATACGGAACTATCCTTAAGCGAAAGTCATCTCTTTTATTGTGGCAACTTCAAATTCAGTACAGTGCCATTAGTGAAATGGAACTACAAAAAGACAAGGATCACAGTAGTTACGTGTGTGTACCTGTATAATTTTGAAGACTGGAATAAACTTGTTGACTTCACTTACATGCCCATTAAACTACCTTGCTGACTTCAAAGACATCACCTCTCTGTTACCTGAAAATGACATTCTGCCTCAGAATAGACTTGGATTTTTTCAAACAAATGTTGAGTATTAAATTACAAATATTGCTTTGCTTCTCAGAACACCAGAACACTGTTTTCTAGAGACTTTTTTTTTTGACAGCAATATTTTGAATTTATAAGAAAAACCTCCTTAAAAGTCAGCAAGAGTGTATTGATTTGAGTTGGACCATTCCAGTGGACTTTACTAGGTACCTGGAAAAAAGCAGACACTTGAGCAGGTTTCTTTCTCAGAGCAACTGATGGAAAAGCTCCCATTAACTCTGATGAGACCAGGATTTAAAATAACAGATGTTTCCTTTCTTGTGGGAAGTTTTCATTAAAAAGTCAGGGAATAAGTACATCCCTTTACTTACCTTCTCTCCGTTGCCCCACTGGTGTGGCAGAGAGATCACTGCAGACAGTGAAAAAGTTTGGTTACTTTTGTCTGATAGTTTACACATAGTCCAAGGAAACTTTTAAAAAAATAATAAAAAAAACCAGAATGAACAAATAGAATATGAATATATATAATTTCCTATTCAGATGTATGTAGGATGCCAAGGTTGTGGTAAAGACAAAGTTATGGCCTCAGCATCTGAACCCCATGCATGAGTGACCTTGGAAAAAGTTACACAGCTCCAAAATGCAGAAAATAGTTCAAGGTTACAGAGATTTATTGCTGAGACTGCTTAGCCACAGACATATGTTTTTCATTGCAATGTTGGGTAATGTATGCTTTTTTACTCTACTAGAAATATTAATTATAGAGGTTATGTCCAATGATAACATTAGTCTATGATGCAATCTACTGTCCTGCCTCATCACAGTTTTAGCTTAAGGTATGTATTTCACTCTTACCAGTTTGTGTTTACTGCCTATTTAACAATTACTTTCAGTATATTTTAGCTAGTAACTTTTAAAGTTTACTAACATACAGTTAAGATACTTTTGCATACAGTTTTGCTTTCTTTTCTTAGTCCAGGATAAATTTAGGTGCACTAGGTTGCCTTTTATTGACATCATGATAAAGGCTTCAGTCCTTCTAGCTTCCCAACAAAGGCACATTTTCCTGTTTATGCAGGCAAAGTATTCGGATGAACAGTATTGCACATATCCATGGTCAAATGCCAGTCAAAGTAAAACAGCTTTCAAAATCCAAGCCTTATTCTTTGGCATAATGTAGAAGATTGTTTCAGCTGTATTTGGAGAAGATGAACATTTCTGATGCAGAAGATCTTCACTTGCTTATGAATTGTCAGAAGATACCTAGGTTTCATAGATTACAAGGTTTTTCAGACCTTTTCTGTGTCACAAATTAGGGCTGGGCAGGCCGTTAAATGACTGATAGATATTCTTTAATTCGTTTCTCTCCCCAGACGGGAGGTGAAAAGGAAGAAGGTGGAGGAATTTATGGATTGGAAACGAAAAGTAAAACAGCTTTAAAGAAGTAATAATAATATTGATAAGGAAATAATGACAATAATGAAATATGTGTAAGTGTATACAAAACTGATATCTAAACTGAACTCCCCCTTGATAACAATTACTACTGATGTTACAGAAGCAGGCAGGCACTGGGAAAACTGAACACAGGAGCTGGATTCAGGAATTTAGGATTAGGGTTAAAGGCAGAAGAATGGACAGAGTCTTCCTTGGATGCTGGCTGTTGAAGAAGTGGAAGAGCAAGAGATCTCAGCCCCTGTGATCCCTCAGCTTTATACTGACAATTACGTATAAGGAATGGAATACTCTTGTTGGTCATCTGTCCTGTCCGTTCCTCCCCAGAGGTGCAACCTTTGACTTTCTTGTCACTCTTCTACTTCCTGGCACTCCCAAGGTGTTACACAAGATTTAGCAGTGACCTTGGTTACTATGGGAGCAAGTATAAGCAAGAGCCTTTCTGCATACCAATCCCTGGCGCTAACTATCAACATCAGGCGTTATCACTTCTAGTAGCAGACACTGTCTGCAAAAACACACTGCTAACCTCAGAGTGCAACCTCTTAGAAGAGACTGAGCTGAAAAGTAAAGTCACTGAATAGAATTGGTTCTGTTTAGTTCAAACCAGGACATCCTGATAGCACTGGAACACAGAGGCTTAAAGAAATGGCAATAATGATTTTGTATTACCAGGAAGGGACTTGGGGAAAAAATCTGGAAAGTTGTTAGGAGCCAACAGTCTCTAAGCAGTGGATTTGACTGCATTTATACCTGAGTAACAGATCAACAAATAGATGTCCGATAAGAGATTTCTTCTTGTAGTTTGCTGTATGTTAGTAATATTATATGAAGTGACGTTTTGCCTTTTTACTATTGTGGAGGTAGGAAAGTAAGGAAGCGAAGAATCACAGACGTGAGTTTGCAGGCACTTCTGAGATGAGCTGATTCGGCTTCCTACTTGAAGCACAATTATGGATGGCTTTAGAGCAGAACAGCCGTGGATTTATCTAGCTGAGTTCTGAAAACCTTCAGGGAAGGAGCTTCTGCCACCTTTGTGGGTAGCCTGCTCCAGTGCTGCATTGCCCTGTTAGAGCAAAACCACTGATTTTACCTGCTTCGTGTGATAAATAGGCAATTTGGGTTTTTTGACTTCCAGCATTCTTGGGTTTTGAAGAGATGTAAACCCACTCTTTTCCTCTATTTGCCACTGTTGAGATTGGTGTGTGCTGAGCAAGCCTAATGTCCGTGCCACTTCAGTGTTTGTTTGTATTATTTAAGATCAGTACACTGACACGAAGCAGTGTGGCAAGGTGCGGAGGATCAGCTGATGCCATGCTTCAGCTCCTCACAAAGTACCTACCTTCTGTCTTTCATCAAATAATAAGCACAGTGTCTGAGACTCAGTTTTGTTAGAAATTAAGGCTTTATTTCAGCCGGGCACTTAGGTTTCTAATTAAGCATGTGAGTAATCCCGCAGAAGTAGGACAGCTCATATTGTTCAAGCTCGGCACGTGGATAAGTGCCTGACTGAGATGAGGCCACGGAGGTAAAACTAAGGAACTCTGTGAAACGTTCTCAGGGAGAAGGCACTACGTTTCTTTACTGCTTTATGAAAGTGATGATAGGAATTGTTCATCTCCACTGGAGCATCACTGAACACTACTCATAGGTGAGTTAAAGGAGAAACTTGAGTTCCTGACACACTGCAGAATGAAAAAAGTATGAAGAAATGGGTGATAGACCTTCTTCCCTGGCAGAAAAGGAGTAAGTGTTGATTTTCGCATGTCATCCCTTTATTTCTTAGGCAGATCAGATTTGAGAATTAGGCAGTTCTTTCTAAAACTTGTTGTGGAATTTCCCATATTTGTGCCATGAGACAACATTCATTGGCAGGAACAAAAGAGATATATATATTCTAACTAGTTACTTTACATCTCAAGGAAATGTTCCCTAGAGATTCAGTAATAAATTAAAGTTTTGTTAACTTTGTAAGTTCCCAAGTGATACTGGGAATGCTGGCAAACTGTCTGAATTATGAAACCGATAAAGGTGTTCAGTGGCCAGTTACAAGCTACTGCATTTTTCTATTGGAGTGCTGCATTTTGTTCTAATATTTAGTGTGCATTGTTACTGTGCATTTCATTTGCATCTGATGCTGAACAAAAAGCTGCTCCCAGTCTGATGCCATTCTCTAAGCAGTAATAATACATTTTCTTTTTGCATGCAGTTGACTTTTTATAAGGTTAATTTTCTCAGAGACTAAAATAATGATGCATTATTATGTTCAAGTGTCACCTTTTTTTGATCACAGTGGGTTTGTCTTTTAACCTGCCTGTCAGTTTTAAATGCTGGAATAAACTGGGTCAGATGTCAATCACTGCTTACCCCTGTATTAAATAAGTGTGTTTTTCTATTATTTCAGTTAACCATATCCTTATACATTGAATTCTGTTTCAAGATTTTCAGAGGTGCAGGTGAGAAAATGAGGCAGAAAGGCAAGACTCATTTCTCATTTGAGCAAGTAAGTGAAGGGTATGTGCTTTCTGAAGTTCTGACCAGCCCCTGGACTCTGCTTGGGTCTTGCAGTGTCAGCCAGTGTGTGAGTGCCCAGCACTTTGGAAAAAAATATAAAACTAAATCAGGCAGAGCTGCAGGGTGTTCAGCACTTCTGAAAATGAGGTCACTTAATGAGGTGTCTACACTCATTGGAACTTAGCTGTAGGGCACGTTTTTCTCAAGTCACCTTAGTGCTTGTAGTCTTAGCCCCTTAGCAGGCTTTCACAGAGCAATGGTTTGAAGCAGAAACAGGAGAGAACCCCTTAGAGAAGAACACAGCTTTTGTCAGTGTCGCTTTGCTTTAACACCATAGTCCTTTGCTCCTTAACATCATAGATACTGTCTTCCCCTCGTTTTTCACTGAACTGCACTTTCACTGTTGTTTTACCTCCTCCACCCTCGCCTTGCTGTGTCTATTCCGGGTATCCTCAGGGGCTACGTGCCTCTCTGTCTCTCCTCTGTTGTTTGTCTCCCATTGAACTGCTTGGCGTTCCTTATCATGATGCCACCAGTGGTTCTCAGTCCTTTCTTTCTGCTCCTGATCTGTCTCCTCTCCCTCTGTCAAGTGGTTCTGCATCTCTCTCTCCAGTAGTTCCATAGGGTTGTCTCTCTGTCAGTTTAATGTCTTTCAGTTTAAAGCTAATATGGCCAAATCTGAATTCTTTATTTTTCCCAGAGAACGATTTCTCATTCATGATGTTTTCTGTGATTACCACCATTCACAATCTCAATCTTGCATATTATTTGGGTCCATTTTTTCATCCTGCATGTTTAAGGCAAAATATAATTTATTATTTTTTCTAATTTGTATAGTAATAATCTTACTACATTTTTCTCTGAATTATTTCTAAATCAGATATCTTTCTCAGTTCAGATTATTGTGCAGATTAATTACCCGTGCCTCTCTGAGAATGACAGCAACCTTTTCTAGTCTATTCTAAATACAGTTGTTAAAATGATTTGTCTTCCTTGCATTCATCATGAATCCCTGCGCTGATTCATCCCACTGCATCCTATCAGCATCCATTTTTTTGTGTTTGCTTTCAAATCTTTCATATATCTGCCCTCTCCTGTTAGTCATTCTTTCCTTTGTTTTGTGAAATGCTGACTCTCCTCTCCACCCTCACTTCTCCAGTGCTATCAGCCTCAGCAATCCTTTTGGTCATTTTAGAGAGCTCTTTGCTTTTCTCATTTCTTATAAAAGCAGCACATCACAAGTTAGGCTTGTAGTGTGTCTTCAGACCAACTTGTTTTGCACCACAGCTGTCAAGGTTATCTTAGAAACAGCTCCGCTGGCTTAATTTGCTATATCAGTTAATATTTACCAGGTTTGCTTATTGAAAAATAGCATTTTTTAAAAGTATGATTTTTCAATTAATATTGAAATAAATAAATTGGGAAGCAATTATATTCCTGCAATATTTTGAATCCTTAGAGTTCCTTCTCTTTGCTAGAAATGTATGCAGGAGGAGAAAAGGTTACTGTTTTCCTCTTGGTTATAGTTAGTATTAAGTATCAGTAACTTGCTGAATCAGTGGTTATGCTGACATTCAGAAATGGACTCTAAAATAATGATATTGGGCTCCAGAATAATCAGAGTTTTAAAACATGCTATGTGATTTTTGAAGCAAAATTTTCATGCTTTGCTTGGCAATTCATTTGGATACCCAAGTCACTTGATCACAAAAGAGTTAAAGGAAGACTTTGAGTCTTAGTCTGATGTTGCAGGAGGTAAGAAAGACCACTAGTTGTCATGAATCTTGTGCAAAAGTAGTGGGAGATCTGGCAGTGCTGAATGATGCAGCTTAAATCCAAAGCCTTAGTACAAATTCAAAGCTGGATCACATCCATATGCATTAAAACTGATAGAGAATATAAGAAATCATGCACTCTCTTTCTGTGTCCTTCCGAGGAAGTAGGGGTGAAGGTTGGATTGGGAAAAGGAGAGGTTATGGGTTTTCCATTTCAACGTTAGCAGAGAACAGAAGCCCTCAAAAATTTCACATCCTCCGAGTAACAAACTTGGGTGCAAGCAGAGGACCCTCCTGCTTCTCAGATTTCGTTGCTTCTACCTCCATTTAAAGAGAAGGTGCAGAAGGTGGGAGAAGGTGCTGAAGAGTAACACCTACCATTTCAATTCACTTCCTGCAGCAGGGCCTCTGTGTTTGTCAGACCTACAGGCTTTTATATTCCTCTTGTAATCTGCCATCTTTCAGGGCACAATTCTGAGCTTCACAAGCCTTATGTCCTGGAAACTCAGTCTTTTAAAATAATTCGTAGACACGATCTTTCCAAATACAAGCAGCTCAGCATACAGAAGGCCTTTCTCGAGGGATGCAGGCCAGACCTCTGGGATTTTTACTGGAGTTACGGAGAGACAGTCTGTCTGCGCTGGAATTGATTACTGTCATTGCATGTCAGCTTCTTCTCACGACTGTGGAGTGGAAAGGAAGGAGAGGATCTCATTAAATACATGCAACAAGGAGCCCGAGGGCCGGGGTTCAGTGGCCACCCCTAGCCTCAGGTCTCTCTCCTCCAGCCTTCAGAAGATTTGCAAAATTGATCCAGGGATATTTGAATAAGGAGTAATTGCCCTGAAAGGAATGTTTGCTTGCTTGTCAGTAACTGCCAGCAGATCTTGAAATAAATTACGGGATTGTGGTGAACAGTTTCAAATGTGCTGAACTTTTTCCTGGCCTGTCCAAAAAACCGCTGATGCTACTGGTAAGCATCTTGAGTTCTTACAACATGGTATATGCAAAAGTGAGAATTTATCCTGAAATTCACCTAATAAATCTTTCTGACTAGTCTTCCCCGGTGTAGAAATGTAATAACAAGTACAAAAGGAGATAATAATTCTAAAAGCTAATGATCACTTTTATTAGTTTGCAGGTCAACAACTGATACTCATATAAATGACTTAGATGAACTGAAATACCTCCATTTGCTGTCCTTTTCTTTACATTTGCATTTTTCTCTGCAGCCTCTGGCTAAACAGACTCATCTGAATAAAAGTTTGTGTGTGTTGCCATCTTCTAATGATCTGTACATTTTTGTGTTTGACAGTGTATCAATTGCAACAAGAGGCACCACGTCCCAAGAGAATCATCTGTCCTCGGGAGGTCAGTTCTTCTTTCACTCTACCTTGTTAAATCTGATGAATTGTCAGCAGCATATGATTACCAAAAAATCTTTTGTACAGTGTGCGAGTAGTATTTGCTTTAATTTTTCTAAGCCATTATTTTATATAATCATTTCCTTAAGGTTGATTAATTAAAGCAAATTAATATTTGCTAATTAGGCATGGAGGCCTCATTCTACCACTAGAAGCCCCTTCATTAGACGAACACTCATTAATCATTGCTTAGTGTGCTTTTCTGTATACTACCTAAAGTTTTGCATTTCCTTGTCAAAATGGTGTATATTCTTCCTGCATCTGCATGTTAACATCTGCGTGATATGTTTCAACACAGTCTATGTAGCTCCAGTTTGTTGGATGCATTCTGAAAAGGGTTATGTTTGTTATAATCATAGAAACATAGAATCATAGAATGGTTTGGGCTAGAAGGGACCTTAAAGATCATCTAGTTCCACGTCCCCTGCCATGGGCAGGGACACCTCCCACTAGACCAGGTTGCTCAAAGCCCCGTCCAGCCTGGCCTCAAACACTTCCAGGGTGAGGGATTGCCTCAACTTCTCTGGGCAACCTGTGCCAGTGCCTCACCACTCTCACAGTAAATTTCTTTCTAATATCTAAACTAAATCTACTAGACTGATAACCAGAGAGCTCTTTTCTGTTACAGAAACATTAAAAATTATGGGATATTTAGGAATCTATAGGGCTACAGATTTGGCTCAGTCATCTTGTCTCCCAGGTGTGTTTTTTTTTCTGTATTTCTCCATTTCTACTTAGTTAAATATGTCAGTTTCACAACCTGTATGGCTTAATAGTAAGGGAAAACGTATGTAGGTGTCTTTGCACAATCAATAAAAATGTGATAGCTTTATCTTCTATAATGTCAGGGACATATTTTGTGCAAATAGACATGTAATACTAGTAATAGGAATGCTACATGCGTGAAGTGATTGCACGAGGTATAAAAGATGATGTGAGGGAAGACAGAAACTGCAGTTCATCAGTGTGATATATAGCTCTACTCTCAAACGTCATCCTGAGCTCTGACCTGCTTCCCGCACTGTGTACCCCCTGAAGTAAAGCCCTAGCACAGCGACTGTCAGATATTAACAGACACAGTCTCAAAACAGTTCTGCATGGGGCAGGAGTTTTTAATAAGGCACATGTAGCTTCCCAGAGCCATGAAGATGATCCATTGCAAAGCTGGGAGTTGAATCCAGTTTTCCGGAGTCCACCCAACGCCTTAACTAAAAGGCCATGATGTTTTTCTCTCAAGTGCCATCTACCAGTGGTTTCAGGGCAGAGAGAGCAGGGTCTTGGCCTCACACTGGAAGTCTTCAAGCCCTGTCAGCTTGGGATGGTCCCAAGACATGTACAGAGGATGCTGAGAAGGGCAGGCGAAACACCAGAGTGGGCAAACCCTCCTTTCTGCCTGTCAAAGACGAGGCTCAGGGAGAAGGAGCATGCTGTGGCCCTCTGGGACTTCACCTGTGCTGAAAGGTTTTAACAAGAGCTTCCTCTCCAAAGTTGTCATGCAAAACACATGACAGGTAGGTTTCTGTGACTGGTGTTCAGGAGAGGACATTAAGGTTTGTACTGAATGAATATCACGTAACAGGTATTAAGCTTTTAGTGGTGTAGTTGGTTAAGTTAAATGATTTTATTCACTTCCAATGCAGCCTTAGAGGAGCTTCTCACTTTGTGTGAGATAGTAGTTTATCTAATATTCTATTTATCTATTTCATAGTGAAACTGTTTTGAGGAAGCATTTGAGAAAATCTGATTAATAAGCACTGATTTCCTAGGCACCCTTTTCTACAACTGGAACACATCTTTGTGGGGATGTAAGTGACTTAGAGTAAGTTTAGTCCAAAATTTATTATCACAGAATCATAGAATTTCAGGAGTTGGAAGGGACCTCGAAAGATCGTCTGGTCCAATCCCCCTGCCAGAGCAGGATCCCCTGGGGCAGCCACACAGGAACGTGTCCAGGTGGTTTTGAAAGTCTCCAGAGAAGCATTTTTTTAGCTTGCCTCCGTGAGTGAGAATTTGAATCAAGGTACAATGTGCTTTTAACATATAGTAGCAATTGTAATGTTGTTCTAGAAACAGGATTAGCTACACAAGTGGAGTGCGTGTATGACTGTGAACTGTATCAGTGCTCTGTATGGAACTTATTTCCTTACACTCAGTTGTTATGTACAACTGAAGCCATCTTTTGCCCCTTTTGCCTGATGTTTAAAGACCATAAATATTTAGCGTCTATTCAGGTCATTTCCAAAGATTTGCAGAAAGAAGCTAAGATCCTATTATATTAATCAAATTAATACATAATTGGCAAAGCAGTGCATTACAAAAGAAGTAAAAAATGTCTGATTCACATCATCTGAGTTTGATTCTTACTGATGAACCATTTTAGTGACTCACTTCACAGACTGATGAAAGTCCTATTTTGATTCTTTTTTTTAATTTAGCTTAACAGCTGAAAATAGGAGAATTTATTCGGGGTAGGTATACAGAGCAGTACAAATTCCCACAAATGTTATCTTTGGTTGACTTCATTTTCTTGGATTTTCAATGTTTGTGTAGCTAAGCTGCATGTGTTCACAACCTGATTGCTAGAAACAGGTTCTTTGACCCCAGAGCCAAAAAAACACTACAACACTGATGATGTGCTCTGTTTTTACAAATAATGGAGGAGGCAGGGGTGGAAGGTGGGGTGCCCTCATAGCTAGATTGCTCCTTGTGGTTCGTATTGCCAGTTTTATATGAAGTAGAAGTATCTACTGGTTTTATAGAGCATCACAGATTATTTTAAAGAAAAAAAATCAGCACTATATTTCTAGAACACCTGTTAGCTTTTCCTTAGCACACAGACTGTAAAGTGGGTGTTTTGGCATTGTTTTTCTGGATTCCAGTTTGGCTTCAGTGTAATCTGCTGATTATATAGGATTGCCTCGCTGAAAATGGTGTTTTATTAATCTTAAATCTCTATCAGTTATGTAGACAGATCTCAGAATCTAATTTTATATTGTGTATTTGAAAATATATTAATTGGCAGTATGATAATTATTTAGTATGCAACATGATGCTCATCCAACATCTGGAGAGCAGGTGCCAGCAGGATGTGTGACTGACAGGGGAAAGATTTATCCCTCTGTATGTGTATCATAGGAACTAGACTTGGTGGAGAGTGTCCTATTGTGTAATTCAGGATTCAAACAGCTTCAGACAAATGTAAAAATTGCAAGTAATTTTAAATCCTTCACACTTATGGGAAGATGTGTTTCATTCATAATTGCTGAATTCTGCACTGTTCGCAAGGAAATTGGATCGTCTGGTGCAAACAAAATCCGTATCACCAACAGATAAACTTGTGAAGGGTTGGAGGAGGTTTTTTTGCTCTCGCCACTTGACATTTTCATCATTCCTCCTCGTTTTCCACTGCCGTCTTCCACATGCTCTGCATTTGTTTTTCCATTACCTCTCTGTTACTCCGTTGTCATAGGGGTTTTAGCCTCAGATCTCTGCAGTTCTGCTGTCTGATTTGTGTGAATTTCTTGATTAACTGTACTGTGGAGGCAGAAATTACCTCTCCTCATATGCAAACCACCAGACTAAAAGCTGGGACTGTAAATAAAACATGAACATTTGTATCTTTGTGTCTTTGAGCTTTGTATCATGATTTTCCCTTTCCTTCTTCTTTTCACCTGCATAAATATCTTGTCAGCAAAAGCAGATCTTTCTGCAATGGGAATCATATTGAATGAACTGTTAGGGCTCCAGGTATCTAACGGCTTTTAATTAATCACCACTGGCAGCGGGACTAGTGTGACTATCCTACCTTCCCAGTAACATTGGATTTCTGCCAATATCCTCATTTGTAACCATATTGCTTCCAGCAATGTTTTAATGATTTATTTTTTAAATAGAAAAAGTTTTGTTTAAAAGCGCTATTCAGGTGGAGGAGTAGCTTTTAACTACTGTCGAGTGTGTTGATAGGCACCAAAGAATCAGGTTCGTGTTGTGAGCAAGTCGTATTGTACAGCGTCTTTTAGGTTTTATTCTACAGAAATGCTGATAAAAAATGACAGTCTCAGAAAATAGTTCAAATATTCAACTTCCTGGTCTTACTCAAAAGTAATAAAGAATTCTTAATTTTAAGAAGTATTTCAGGAGTAGACTATTCAAAGTTAAAGTATCTTTTAAAGAGACGCAGGCTTTAACAAAGTAAAAGAATTGAGGCCATTATTTGGGAATATTTTTGATTAAGGAATATTATGTTGTTATAAATTTCCTTCAAAGAGGGAGCAAGTCTTTTCCATGCATTTTTGCATTACTTCTGTAGAGATATTCATACCCGTGGATGCTCTTCCTGTTTTGTTCCAAGAAAACCTTAATTGCCTACAGCAATTTTTGAGGCTGCTGAGTTTATCTGCATTAGACCTTGCATATTCCTAACAGTGCCTTGGCCAAGCCGGTGTCAGCAACAGTGAGAAACTCATCTAAATTTCCCTAGTGTAGACAAAGCCTTAGAGCCCTAACTTATATTATTATGTAGAAAAAATGCCAGTTAATTGCCTTCCTCGTTGTTCTGAATTCTAAATAGGTTGTGTCAGAAGCAGTAGAAATTATTGTCTCTGCCTTTAAAGCATCAAAAATATGATTTCTTGAATAAAAGCAAATATGATTATAAGATTTTTCACTGAAAAAGAAAAGGGTTTTTCTTTTTGCTTAAGTGATTGAAAGAGACTAAAATAACGATGGCATGTTCAGGCTGTACCACTGAGAATCTTTCACTCTAAGCATGCGGAGGGTCTCGAACTCCTTTGACCCTCTGGGTATCCATTACACAGATTTGTCAAAACGGGAGTATAAATAGTGGCATCACTGTTGAAATGGTCACTAGCAGGTTTGTAATGTTATTACCATCTTGTACCTTACCAGCAGAGAAATATACAGGATCATTGCACATCTTCAAACCCA